ATTGGGATGAACTGGAATACAGAATTAGGGCAAGACAAATTTTATGGTACCGGCCCTTATACCTTCCAACATGATAATGCTCCATGTCACAAAACAAAGATTGTGAATCAATGGTTTGAAGAGAATAACACTGAAACAATTGGGATGAACTGGAATACAGAATTAGGGCAAGACAAATTTTATGGTACCGGCCCTTATACCTTCCAACATGATAATGCTCCATGTCACAAAACAAAGACTGTGAATCAATGGTTTGAAGAGAATAACACTGAAACAATTGGGATGAACTGGAATACAGAATTATGGTTCACTCCTCCTTTAAAGCATCAGTAAACTCCAATACTGAAGAGGGCCGTCTTGGCCTTGCAACCAACTTTCTACCAAAAATTAGTAGACAGTCTTCCACGACGCATTGAAGCAGTCATTAAGGCAAAAGGCGGGCCAACACGATATTAATTTCTTGGAATAAAGACATGTTTTATTCATAACTACCCATGTCCCATGACTTTTGGTAGAATAGTGTATAATGTCTGACAAAGGCCAAAATTTTCTACAAACTACAAGACGTTATGATCTAACAATATTCACTTAAAGCAACGATAAAAATTCAGAAGGTTCGAGTAACATGACGTCAATTCACAACAACTGAACTACACAACAAATGATTCGTAAGCAGTTACGTAAGCAAACTTGCCATAACCACTGCTTCTAAAAACATCTTACTTGGATGTTCGCACCAGATAAACTAAATAATACTGACGTACTAAACTTAAAATGAACAGTCATGTATATCTAACAGATACTTACTAAAGAATGTCTTGGTATTCCTGCTAAGAACCCACCAGTGAAAAGAAAGGTAATATTTCAACAACACTACATCTACCATATCCAATGTTGACGAGGCCTATCGTCCAATATTAGGCCTCATCAGGTTGTTTGGATACCACGGACATATTAGTGGTCTAGGCACTATATATACACACACATATATATAGAGTACATGCATATTTGTATTCATATTGGTTTACATTTTGTCTTAGAGCAAAGCCGCATTGAGCTATCTGCTGTGTCCACCGCAGGGAATTGAACCCTGGATTTTAACGTCTCACTGGGGGACATCGATATTGGCACAAGGTAACTATGTAGAGTTCGCAGAATTTTCACCAGATGGCGCTACTTAGGAAACTAAACTCAGTCTTATGTAATAAAAAGAAAATTCTAATAGTTTTCTATGTTTGGAGTAAAATTCATGATCTTACTTGATTGGACCTAGCTCCTCATACTTCTTTTCAATGATAAGTCGAATTGCTTTCTGGGTAGATTCTGTTGCGTCTCTCCTAAAAAAAATCACAGCTAAACTTTCTTGTTCAAGATAATAGAATGAACTTGCATGTTCTATCACAGAATAATGTTAAAAATAATGAGGACAAAGACTGTTCCCATGATTTAGTACACTTTCATGCATTACGAAAAAAAAAAAACTATTCTTACCGGCAGCCGATGTATAAAATGTTGAAAAACGCCCAAGTAAGAAAAACACCCAACAGCATGCCGGGAACGTTGTACATCATCCATGTGGCAAACGTGATTTCTGTTGAGCCGGGAAACATTCTGCACATGCAATATTAATATATATATATATTAGTTTTTACTTTTCATCTAATTAAGTTCTAAGGCCACAGCATAGAATTCGATTTATGAGGTGGGCACAGTGCAGATCCATTGTGCAGTTTTGCATTTGATAACAAAAACAAACTAATCATGCCAAAATTATTTTTCTCAACTAAAGTAGCACAGTATTCTCATAGTATTCTTGTTTCCAAGTTCAGAAAACCGGTTTGCTTAAGTTAAACTGCACATAACAGAAACTTCCTGTAAGTTTGACTAAAAAAGCAGTGCTGTAGTGGTGTTTAGTGTTTTTTTGTTCTTTTTTTTTTGGTCCGCAACTACGTTACCTCACTATTTTCAAGGAATCCGACCTTACAAATTTCAAACTAAGTGAAGTTTTGCCCACTTCTAGAAAAAAGAATCATTAACCCTTTCATCCAGATTGTAGGCAAGTTATCAAAGTTTAATGAAAGAAAGGATTACAAAATGTAAAATCAAATGTGTAATTCTGTTAGTATTGATCACAAAGTTCCAAACAACTTATGGTCAGAGTTTATACTTCTCACATTTTCACACTTATTTTCTGTAGTTATTAGTTCCAAACAACTTATGGTCAGAGTTTATACTTCTCACCTTTATTACAGTTATTTTCTGTAGTTATTACTTCCAAACAACTTATGGTCAGAGTTTATACTTCTCACCTTTTCACACTTATTTTCTGTAGTTATTACTTCCAAACAACTTATGGTCAGAGTTTATACTTCTCACATTTTCAGACTTATTTTCTGTAGTTATTACTTCCAAACAACTTAT